GTCTACTTAAATACAAAAAATAAGTAGCGTAGTCGATTGTTAGAGCCAAATTACGTTTGCTTCATCGGCAATCCAACCATTAGAATGTGACATGGTAAAAGGCCTGGCCTTTCTTGAAATTGACATCTGCCCTGTAACGCAAGGACACTCGTGGCAATGTGGCCGAGTGGCTAGATTGTCAAGCTCACATGCTGCACTGTCACAGTTCGACTCCTTTTGGGGGTGTTGATAAGACCTAGGCGAGGTCGAAACTGCAGTCCATCGCAGGCTGGATGAAAACAACTATTGGGGAAACAAGGCCATGTGAAATTCAAAGGAAACGCACACAATTTGGGAAAATTCTACTACCAGTTCTTCATCACATTTAGCGAAATAGAGTAAATAATTCTCATAAACGAGGATATACCTTTCATTTTCCATCCATAGCCCAGTTATTCTCTAATATTTACGGGAACCCATGGGCTGAGCCGACGGAATGGTCATGCAATATTAAAATTCTGGGAGATCGCATCCCAGATTGGTACAATGAAAAATGGCGTCTGCTGCTTTCGGAGTGATACTCTTTTGGAAAGGTTAACTGAACGCTTTACGGCTGGCAAAGTTAGGCCAAGACTCGAGAATCCGTTATTCGCTGATGCGGCGCGGGTCGAATAGAAACGGTAGCAAAGTGATTTCCGTGATGCAGTGTTTCCAACGGAAATGTCTGCTCAAATGTGATGGCTGTGGTGGGTTGAGTAAGTCATCTGGATTGAGGCTGTTTCAAGCAAACGTGGCAATTCTTGCATTGTCTCAAGCACGTCGGATGAGGCATCAATCGACGGGCCAAATTGTCTGGCCTATTAAGGCCACTCTGCTTCAGACAAACCTGCTCAACTTGGCATTGGGTGTCGATGGCTGTTAATTGCCCTATGGCTGTTTGAGTGGCAGAAATCTGGGGAATTGGAGTGAGCATATTGAGATCCCAGCGGCTGGCACCTCTGCTTGAAGCATCATTTAATTCACCTTTGTCTATTTCTCACTAGCCACTTTGTTCTCTCATCTTCTATGTGTACTTATCCCCCGCTCTATATATAGTTTGCAATTGTTTGTTATTGTTCGTCAATTTCATCCACGCTCTATTTTAACGTTTATGCCTAGTTAAATAAATAAATAATTATTTACATACCTTTTTCGATTACTTCTATTTATCTTCTAAGCTGTTAGCTTAGATGATGCTCTGCATAGCCCCTCTTTTTTAACATTTGAAAACTAATAAACTTACACCAAAAAGTGTTCCTTAATCTTCAGAAAGTGCTAGTATCGCATTCCAATTTCTCAATGTTAATCTGCATGACCACATGGATACAGGCTTCATTGACTAGTCATGCTATAAAGTTTTTTACAGATTGATTTTGGTTTAAGTTTTAATTTTATCCAATCTTTCGTTTTGTATTACTGATTTTAAGAGTAATATCCTTTTGCCGACTAGCAAATGCAATGAATGCCCGTTGCATCATCATCCTAATCAGTATCATCCTCTGCACCATACTCATCATGAACGTCTGGTATACTGCCTCGTTTATGCTTATCAGCAGATGCATACGTCGCAGAATTGTGATGTTCCTGAGAGAATTTGTTAGAATTTTTACCCATTCCAACAACTTAAAGTGACCGCAATCGGCATTTTGCAAAATGTTTTATAAATATCTGACATACCAGTGCTTCAGCTCTAGTGGCCTCTGTGTGTGTGCAAAGCAGTTTGTTCCAAATTGGTCTGCTTTGAGGAAAAACAATTCATTAAAAGTCTCCAAAATGCCCTCTCAAACTGCCAGGAAAGACTAAACTTCTCTCTTTCAACTGCACCCGTCAGCAACTGATCTACCAAGAGACAAGACCATTTGCCTATTTCTGTTCGGCCAATTCTTTCAAAATCTTAATTTTCTAATTTAGTTCATTCTACGTTTATTCTGGTTCATATGTGTATGCTTATGCTCTTGAAGTGAGACCGATGCCATACTTGACACTTTTCGTATGCTATTACAGAGACCGATAGTAATTATGCTCTAAAAGAGGTGCAAAGTAGACATCACTTTGTGTTGAAATGCACACTATTATTTATCCCGTATGGTCGTTCACATACGGAGTCATTCGCAGCCCATAAACCCGCGTATCCATGGCTAGAATCCTACAGTGTTGCTGCTGCAGTTGACATCGACCAGGTTATATAATGCGATATCTAGTTCGGCGTGCTTACAGGCACCAGAAACCTTTGTACTAATTTGCAAACAGGTTTTTGACAGATGCGATTCAAACAAGCTCCAAACATAAGAGTTCTATAAGAGTAGGGTTTCGAGACTACCAGTAAACCAGTGTATTGAGATGTATTCACCCTATTTCGCCCTGTGACTCAAGGGTACTCGTGGCAGTGTAGCCGAGTGGTTAGCGTGTCAAGTTACCGTCCTGCATTGTCGTAGTTCGAATCCCGCTGAGGGTGTTGATAATACCGATGCGAGGTCGAAACGGCAATCCACCCTGGATGTGAACAACTTTTGGGAAAGCAAGGCTATGTATTCAATGGAAACGTCAGCTCAACTCATATCATTGTGGGAAAATTCTACTACCAGTCCTTCATCACCTTAGACGAAATAGGCAACTCATATCATTGTGGGAAAATTCTACTACCAGTCCTTCATCACCTTAGACGAAATAAGGTGAATACATAAGAGTTCTAGCCCGCATAATTATGGATAGTTGAATTTTCCCACAATCATATGAGTAGGCCTCACGTCTCCAATGGATTTCACATGGCACTTCTTCCTTCAAAGTTATTCTCATTCAGGCTGGAATGGAATTCAGTTTCTACCTCGCCTGAGTCTCAGCCTCATCCTCAGCGGGACTCGAACGTGAGACCTATTCAAGGGGTTATTGGATAATTCAAGTATCAATCATGCATCGCCTTACACGATCTAGGCTGAAAAGAAATTTCGTTCAAGATCTACAGCTAGTCTTGACAACCTGTTTTATCTTAATATAAAAACTAAAAATGACTGTATTTTATTTGTGCATGACAAATCGGCTATATACAACAGACAGAGCTTGCTCGCTAGGCAGGTATCTTCATCAGAATTTTTCGTTCATATTTAGGTTTTCCAGACCACCATTAGATCATATATATGGGCTGTGTTCACCCTACATCCTTTAAGGTGATGAAGAACTGGGAGTTGAATTTTCCCACTATGATATGAGTAGAACTTACGCCTTCATTAAATTTCACATAGCTTTGCTTTCTAAAAGATATTTTCATCAAGGATGAACTGCAGTTTTGACTTCACCTAGGTCTTATCGGCACTCCCAGCAGCTGTTGTCGACGAAGCAATATTATATTCTC